CCCCACCTTTTTATAACTCTGATAAGTTGATGGCTTATTAAATCTTATTAAACCAAATCTCAGTCACGTGATCAAGCGTGGTGGATTCGGTGGATGTGGCAAAATCACTTTTAAACTGTCGTACTTTTAACACCCATAACACCAATCTACATTTACTGCGGAATTATTTTTTATTGAACTTTTAAACTCAAATGTAGTTGAAAAACATGTAAAATTGTAATTTTTTCTTGTTTTTTAATTGTTCCATAATGTGGATTAAGGAATAGCATCGTTGGGAACAGGGAGCGGAAACGTCATGTGTATGTGTTTGTACCAAAAGAGTGTGTGTAAGGACTACCGAACCGAAGGCGTGCACTGTATAGGTATACAGCACATAAGAATCTAGGTATTTGTACAGTCTAGGAGAGTACATTTGTTTATTGTTAACTTAAAAATAAGTTTAATATACATGTAATATATTATTTAAATATTTAAGTCAACACTATAAGCCAAATTTTCATGCAAAGAATATAATTTTATTAAAGTTTACAATAAACTACTTGTTATTCAAGCATTATCATAATTGACGACATTGTTCTGCAATTTCCTTGACTGTAGTCATGTTGTGTGTCTGTACCAAAAGAGTGTGCGCGTTTGTAATACCGAACTTGTCTGCAAAGCAGTACGACTGGCTTTCTCATGCCAGACCAGCGCCATTTCCCTTCCCTTTATTCTTAATCCCTGGTTGGGAACAACATATTTCTTAATAAATCAATGTTTGAATCAAATATTTCTTTTTCATCAATATATTGAATTTCCTATTCGTCACAAATGATTGTTCTCAGATTTCTTCAAATTCTTTAAATGTTGTCTTTTTAATAAAAATTTCTGGAAATCTACAGAAAATGATTGAACAATGAGACATTGCAAAAACCAACAACATATCAAAATTACTTATTTTCAATGATATGAGTTCATTTCTATTTCTGACACTGTTCCATAACATCTTATAAGTTTACTGTAGAATTTTTGTTACATTTTTCGTCGTCATTATATTGGATGATTTTAAAAACCCGATACTTAAACCATCCCTCCAAAACTGACAATCTTTTAAAGGGACCGTTCACTTATTTGGGTAATTTCAGGGTAAACTAAACAGCCTATTCGCTGTTGATTAGTAATAGTCTTACTTTTCAAAGACAACTGTGGCCGGAGAAAAAGCCGATTTTTCGTTCAGAATTCGAGCGCAAAGGGACGGTAAAAGTAAGACTATTACCAATCAAGAGCGAATAGGCTGTTTAGTTTACCCTGAAATTACCCAAATAAGTGAACGGTCCCTTTAAAGATGGAATTGCTGAACAAATACTCATAGGAAAAACGTCTTTTAGGTCTTAAATTAATCCTAAACTGTTTCTGTACAATACAATACTTTATTCTCAGCTCAACTACAGGGTATCCCAAAAACATTGGAATTCAGTGATGACTTTGATATCGTCTTCGATACATGCGGCATTTTTTCATGAGCACAATTATTGCAGTATTCCAGCTTAAACATTTAACCTCGTCTTGAGATTTTTAGAAATGTGGTCTTTCATTTTCAAAATTGACGGAGATATTGCGAAAGGAATTGAGTTTCAGCCACAAACTCTTAATTTAAATACCTAAATCTTTGTAACATGATGATGTTAACCTTATATATTTCAAACTTAGAATATTTGATCTATCAAAATTTATAGTTTGAAATATCTAAGGTGTACGACATTGGGTTGCAAAAATATAGGGATCGGAAAACTAGAGTTTGTGGCAAAGACTCAATTCCTTTGTACAAATTTCAATTTTTTTAACAAATCAAAATTGTCTTATTATCTAATACCTTTGTCGATTTTTAAGTTACAAGTAATTAAGTTAATGAAAAGCTCGTCAGACATACAGCCTCGTTTTTTGGTTTTCTTTCCTATGCACTAAATATCAGAAATCAAAGATGACTTTAAAGTTGTCTCCCAATTTTCATGTTTATTGGGACACCCCTGTACCATGTTTACCCTCTCTTTAAATCTCTTATTGAGTGCGTTGGGTCTGTTCACACTGCAAAATTGTTGTGTCTCATGTTTATTGGACTTTATTGAAAGTTTCTAAGAATAAATTGGAAGAATTTCTTTGATTGATAAATTGATTGTTTTTACCTGCACGAATCTACCTTTTTAGGCTTCCAGCAGTATCCACAGTAGCAAATAGTTCCTTGGTTATCAGGGCCGATGGATCCTGTTTCACCACATTTCCCGGTTGACTCATAATCTGGTTTAGGTTGGGCCCAAGAACATATTCCTCCAGATTCCTAAACAGTTAAAATATTACACAAAGGGGAGACAGATAAATTAATATGTATTTTTCTATCTTAATTTCCTAAAAATTAAATTTGTCCAGTAAAAAACTAATTGTTAATTTATTGTAAGATGAGTTGGTTGTCTTCAAGAGAACATTTTTGTAATTCTATATGACCGACAGTTCCTCAATGCACCCTTGAAACCTTTATCTGAGCTGGTCAGTTTTTAAGCTTGATAACTTCATTCATTGTTTCTACACTAAAAATGTGTAAGTCACTTTAATAGAGGAACCACAATTTAAAATAAACAATTTTCTAAAAGATAAACATTCCCGAGTAGTCTCAGCTTAATTAAGAGTACATACAGTTGTGAATCCGACCTGCCAGACACTTTAAATGGAGAGTCACTTAAAATTAGGTCTACAGTCCTTTTAATGTTAATAATAAATCACCTTGCATTTAGAATCCTCGCATGGGTCTATTTCGTTTTTCTTCCAACAGGTTCCACACTCACACAAAGGTCCTACTCCAGGCACACCCTCGCTACAGTTCCCAATAGCCTGGTAGTCCAGCCCAGGCTGTTTCCAGGAACACATTCCATCTTTCTTCTAGAAGTAGAGACAAGGTAAGGAACGGTCATCGTAATTTTAAGAGGGATGCCTGGTCATTGTATATTTTGATTGGCATGCCTGGTCATCGTAAATTTTAATTGGCATGCCCAGTCATCGTAATTATAATTGGCATGCCCGGTCTTCATAATTTTAATTGGCATGCCAGGTCATTGTAATTTTAAAAAGCATGTCTGGGCATTGTAAATTAAAAGGCATGCCCGGCCATTGTACTTTGAAGAGGCATGCCGGGTCATTGTACTTTAAGAGGCATGCCAGGTCATTGTACTTTAAGGGGCATACCCAGTCATTGTAATTTTTAAATAGGCATGTCCGGTCTTTTTACTTTTAAGAGGCATGCCTGGTCATCGTGATTTTAAGGGTCATTCCTGGCATATCTGGGTAAACTAAAAAGCAAATTAATTTTTTATTTTATTTTAACCTGATATTATATACCCAAAGAAGAGTACGTTCCCTTTAATTTTTCAGAGAATCAAGGATAATTGATAAAAATGATGAGAAACTGCGTGGATTTTACAAGATTAATTATTTAGCTCGTCGATTTCGATGAGTTAAATATTTGAGCTATTGGGACTATTTAATTTAAGTTAAGAGCGGTACAATACTCTTTAAACTTTTGACTGATCTTCGATGACAGAGATCTCAGTATTTATATCTATTAATTGTTGTGTACAGAGCAGTATAATTGGACTCTAACATACAGTTTGATATCAACACTGATGACTTTTCTTGGAAAATCTAGAATATTCTTTGTCAAACGAGGTTTTCAAAAAGTCTCTTGAAATTACATTTAAAATTCCTTTCACTGTAACTTTTCATTCTTAGTTTTGGACACTGATGGATAAATTTCTACCTTACAGTCGTCTTCGCAGGCTCCTTCAGTGTGAACAATACACAGAGCTAAATAAAGATATATAGAATTAATTTTATGTTGTCATTAATGTCTCATCTTTAGTAGCAACTCTTTAAGTAACTGGGGAAAATATAATGCTTGTAATATAAACACCAAATTATAACAGACCAAAATATAACAGACCAAAAATATAACAGACCAAAATATAATAGACCAAAATATAACAGGCCAAAATATAACAGACCAAAAATATAACAGACCAAAATATAACAGACCAAAAATATAACAGACCAAAATATAACAGACCAAAAATAACAGACCAAAGTATAATAGAACAAAATATAACAGACCAAAATATAACAGACCAAACAAATAACAGACCAAAATATAACAGACCAAAAATATAACAGACCAAAATATAACAGACCAAAAATATAACAGACCAAAGTATAATAGAACAAAATATAACAGACCAAAATATAACAGACCAAACAAATAACAGACCAAAATATAGCAGACCAAAAATATAGCAGACTAAAATATAACAGACCAAAATATAACAGACCAAAAATATAACAGACTAAAATATAACATACCAAAAATATAACAGACTAAAATATAACAGACTAAAATATAACAGACTGAAATATAACAGACTAAAATATAACAGACCAAAAATATAACAGACCAAAATATAACAGACCAAAATATAACATACCAAAAGTATAACAGACCAAAATATAACAGACTAAAATATAACAGACTAAAATATAACAGACCAAAAATATAACAGACCAAAAATATAACAGACCAAAAATATAACAGACCAAAATATAACAGACCAAAAAAATAACAGACCAAAATATAACAGACCAAAATATAACATACCAAAAGTATAACAGACTAAAATATAACAGACTAAAATATAACAGACTAAAATATAACAGACTAAAATATAACAGACCAAAATATAACATACCAAAAATATAACAGACTAAAATATAACAGACTAAAATATACAGACCAAAATATAACAGACCAAAATATAACAGACCAAAATATTACAGACCAAAATATAACAGACCAAAAATATAACAGACCAAAATATAACAGACCAAAAATATAACAGACCAAAATATTACAGACCAAAATATAACAGACCAAAAATATAACAGACCAAAATATAACAGACCAAAAATATAACAGACCAAAATATAACAGGCCAAAAATATAACAGACCAAAATATAACAGACCAAAAATATAACTGACAAAAATGAAATCATGTTTTGACCAAAAAATTACAACTAAAAATAAAAGCGGCATCTCAACAAATCTCAACAAATATATTAATAGTTGGTTATAACCAAAAAAATAACCAGTTTTTGACCAAAAATATAATACCTTTTTTCATACGCAGCTATAACCATATTTTTTTAACAAAAAAAAACACAGTTCTAATCCAAAATAAAACAATTTTATAAAAAAAAGTCACCATCACAAAGTTTTAGTTTTAAAAAATTCTTTGCTAAATAAGTTGTCGAAAATGGTTTTATTTCTCGTTGGTATAATTTTGGTCGTTTTATTTTTTTCAATTTCAATTTGAAAGAGTTTGATTTAATACTCAGCAAAAGAGAGACATAGATAAAATATTGAATAACAGTAAGTTACCTGAGCCCACCAAAGAGAGAAATAGATAAAATATTGAATAACAGTAAGTTACCTGAGCCCACCAAAGTCCAAAGTAAAGTATTCATCTCTGAATGTTCGGAATTGAATGAAAAATTATTAAAAGTTTATAACTTTAAATACTTTTTACACACAGGCCCCACTTGTTAATTAGTCATTAGTATGTACACATACACGTAAGCCTCATAGGGGCCTCTCTCAATTGACAATGTGTTTAAAAGAAAATACTAAATTAAATTGAATTTTTACTTTTTATTCTATTCTTCAAAAATTGCATTGTTTTAAAGAATAGCTGAAAATAACTAGCTAGTTGTTTAAAATAAACAGATTTCATTAGTATTTCTATAGATAGATCATACTTACTCACGATCTGAAACAGACTTTTCGCCTTTTTTAAAATACTCATAAAGCTCCCATATTTTTAGGGTAAGGAACACAGCTAAGGCCATTGCTCAAAGATGTTTCTGAGTCCAGAGTGATTAACACTTTTTCAAAAAAATGAAATTTATACTTCAACTCGTTTTTATGAATCTATATAATAAAGCTCTTTACTCATAAATATATGTATATATTAGCTATAGCTGGCTAAATGGCCAGACCAAATTGATCATTTTTGTATGGAACCTGTGGGTACACCAGGGATGACATAGGGTAATTTTATTTTGATTTATTTAAATTCCACTGGCAACCCCGAGCACTTCAGCTATTAATTATTATTCAAGCTGATATTTTAAATGTATTAAATGTATTCTGGCTCTCAGGAACAGTTTGTTGTAATCTTAAATTCGAAAATTAAGGATTATGTGTATTTTACCAATAATAAACTATTTTCTGCAAAAATTCATTTTACCATTTGTCTTCTGATATTAAGAATAAATATTTAATAATATTAAAAATTCAAAGGAAATAAAAGATATCAAATTTTCTGACGGCTCTTTTTAAAAAGGGATAAGAAAATTCTTTTCAATCACTACGGGGTATTTTGTTCAACCATCGTCGATCAACCATCGTCTGACTTTAAAACAACGAATAAGGATTTAAACTGACAATTTTCATTAGTTTTTATGATTCACTATACAGACGAATGTGTTCTACAAATACGACATTATTATATTTGGTCATATCTTGATATTTGGATTGGAGCAAGGTTGTATAATAAGGTTGGTTACTATCGACATGCTCCAATGTCGTACTTGAGGCTGTGTATACCTAGTTGTACTTGAAGATGTTGTACTTGAGGCTGTTGTACTTGAGGATGTTGTACTTGAAGATGTTGTACTTGAGGATGTTGTATTTAAGGGTGTTGTACCTGAGGATGTTGTACTTGAGGATGTTGTACTTGAGGATGTTGTACTTGAGGATGTTGTACTTGAGGATGTTGTACTTGAGGCTGTTGTACTTGAGGATGTTGTACTTGAGGATGATGTACTTGAGGATGTTGTACTTGAGGATGTTGTACTTGAAGATGTTGTACTTGAGGATGTTGTACTTGAGGATGTTTTACTTAAGGATGTTGACTTGCGTGTTTTGCGACAGTTTCGTCACATTCTAAATTCCCTCACCTGAGTTCTTCACTCGAAATTTAGGAAACCCCTGAAGTGGAGGGGGGAACAAGTCTGCACTACAGACCAGTTTTGATTTGTAAACTATACATTAAAAAGAAAGCTTATAATTTATAATTCATACGGCCTTTTTTCGCAAACATTCACTTTATTTCCATTGATGTTTTTATTTTTATGATATGATTCAAATCAACGATTTAAAACCACGTAGGTTGAGAAAAGATACAATTCCAAATGATAAGAATCCCAAATGATAAGAATCCCAAATTATATGAATCCCACATGATAAGAATCCCAAATGAATGTTAACCAAAGTTGGGATTGGAATAATGGGATTAGGATGAGGATTGGAAAGTTGGAATAGGTTGGGAATAGATAAAATAGGATGGGAATTGGAATGGATATCAACTAAAGAGGAAGTTGGGATTGGGATTCAATGAATGTTAGGATGATAAAAAGGGTTGGTAATTGGGAAGATTGAGTAATGAATAAATGTTTTATGGGGACCACTGTATTGGAAAGAGAATAAGCATAATATAGAAGTTCAGAACAGAGCTAGATACAGATATAATAAAATACGTGTATAAAATCTATGGAGAATATGTAGTTTAGTGGATAAAAATGTATAATAAAATACGTGTATAAAAAACTATGGAGAATATGTAGTTTAGTGGATAAAAATGTTAATAAGGGGCAAAGACGACATTTTGGTAGGACAAAGCAGATTATTGTTAAGTTGGAATAAGAGAGAGAAAAGAGTATAAAAATCATTATTAGAATCATTCAGTTATTATTCAATTATTAGTCAATGCCAAGAGCGGGTAACCAGCTGAAGGAACTATGACCATGAATGTTTTGAGTATTCTGGCTCTCAGAAACAGTTATGTATATTTTCCCATTAATAAACTTTTTTCTGCAAAAATTCATTTTTAATTCGGAATTGCACTTGTTAAAATATTTTATTACAGAAGTATTGTTGTTCCATGAACAGAAAAATTATGTAACATATGAAATTTTCATCAGATACAATAAGATGCTTCCGCTGGATTAACTGTAATTATTTAATCGTTTGAACTGACGAGGACCGAAAATTAATTTGAATTAAATGTGGACCCAAGTAACAAAAGTGAAGAATTTCTCCAATTTCTCCAGCTTTGGTGACTTGCTTTGAGGAATTTCCGGGGAATTTCTTGAGAACAAGTTCTTGTGACTGATTCCTCGGAAATGCTTGAGAAATTTTCCAGAATCGGTCCCCAATTTGACAGATTTTTAAGGGATCAGACTTTTGAGAATTAGTTTCGAGAAATTCCTGAGATTTTCTCCGGAATTTTTTCCAAGAAATTGCTGAGAAATTTTCTGGAATATTTCTCCGGAAATTCCTGAGAAATTCTCCGAACTTGGTCACCAATTTTACGGTATTTGTGGGGAACTCAATCAAAGACATACTCTCGAGAAATTCCTGAGAATTATCTGGAATCATTCAAGTTAATGTAAAGGGTTACCCACAAAGGATGAGACTGCAAAGACGACCCAAAACTCTAGAAATATGACGATATAAAGCTTTTTTCTGGTTTCTACATTCAAATGAGTTAAGTGATGGTTTAAAAATGAATAAGCACAAGAATATGCCAGTTTTTACCTACAATGCAAGAAAAAAACTAAAAAAAATTATAAATTCGAGTCTCTTAAGACTCATCCTTTTTGGCATTAACAAAAATTTTAAAGAAGAAAATATTATTAAAAAATCATCATTTCAGATTGCTGCACCAAGCAAATGAAGGAGATTATGAGTATCATTTTAAGGAATGTGCCAATCTAAATATGAATTTGAAGAATATGTAGAATGATGAGGGTGCCGGAAAGAAAAGTAGGAAAGATCTAGTATAAGGTTTTTTTTTTTTGGGGGGGGGGGGATGTAAAAATCTACCTAAAACAACCTGCGTCTTGAACTAGTAATCTATTTTAAACATTAGGTCAAGAAGATAAAATTGTACATATAAACTCAATATTCTAAATTCAAAATGTTAATTTACCAACACTACTCATATAATATAAAATTCTAATGGCGCAATTTTAAGGCAGTGAGAGAGATAAGTATAGAGTAAAACTGTACGAAGCAGAATTTACGCAGTTAGCTAAGGTATAGGAATTTTTTAATTTAGAAATACACATAACGCAATTTACATGTTAATTGATTTTAATAAATCAGGGCTTAGGTTTCGCATCATGAAGAATAAAAATGAAACATGAAAATTGCATTGCAATTTTTTATAACGATTATAAAGGGAGTGTTCGCGAAAAATGAAAGGGGGTAAAGGCTTAATGCGATAAAAAAGCGCTTTTGATCGCTACTAATCTTACTTCTATATGTTGCGTCTATAAGGAGAAAATTGTTAAAGACGTCTCATACCGAATAACTTAGCGTCCATACAAATTAAGAAAATTGCAACATACGACTTAGACAGTAAAAAAATCAATTTAATTTCAAACAAATCAATCAGATATTACAACCTATAGTCATCGATAATCTTTCGCCACATTTGTATATAGTTTATATTTAATAATGCTTTTTAATTAATTCTTTAATATTTAATTTTTTAGAAAACGTTTTCAACGGATTTCGAAAAATGTGATTGATGCGCGGCATTCTTAGATAGTTGCGCAAGCGACAAGTGAAATGATAAAATTCAAAACAAATTAGTTAAAAAATATTATAAAATATAAACTATATACAAATGTGGCGAAAGATAATTGATGACTATAGGTTGTAATATCTAAATGATTTGTTTGAAATTAAATTTACTTTTTACTGTCTAAGTTGTATGTTGCAATTTTCTCAACTTGAATGGACGCTAAGTTATTCTGTATGATATTTCTTTAACAATTTTCTCCTTATAGACGCAACAGATATGAAGTGAGATAAGTGACAATCAAAAGCGCTTTTTTATCGCATTAACCCCCTTTCATTTTTCGAGAACACTCCCTTTAAACTATCAGTTTATTTTTTATGATTGTTTAAAACGATAGTTTCGTTGCATTCTATATTTACTATTTTACACAATTAAATATGAGATAAACTTTTTTTTGTTTTTTTCTCAAATTTTGGCCTTGAATGTAAACATGTTTTTTATAAACATATGTGAGTCTAATTTTTATTTAATTTTAAATTCAAATTTTTAAGAAATTAGAACAGTCCCCCCCCCCCATCCATCCAGAGAAAACTTAGGGAAGCTCAGGCCCGTCTCACCGCAATACCATATTATTCTTTGGGACACAATTTAAATCAGACCTTACAAGTACCGAAGGCGTAATTTCAAGTTACCCTTCATTTACAGAGTGGAATATCCGAATCACAACGGCACCCATTAGCCCCCTCTTGAATAAAAATCAAGAATGTTATCTTCTTTATTCTACATTGAAGAGATCTAACATTCCTCGATGGTCTTCCTTAAAAGTGCTACATAAATCGGAAAGTCCATTTTCAGAGAGAATCTCGAAAATAAATCCATAATTTTTGTTCAGAATTCAAGACAAAGATTTTGTATTGTTAAGTTCCGAATATGTCACTCTATAAGTGAAGGTTCACTTTAAATTGCGTCTATTGCCCCTTTAAGTGCAAAAAATGTGTAATGCAATCTATATTTGTAGTCTTGTTTCGCTACTTGGCGATTTCCCTAAAGACCTAATATATGTACCGTGTGGTATTTCTCAGGATTGGATCGTAAGACTCCCTTCTCTCAACGCTCTTCATAATAAAAAGGAGGATAGTAAGGTTCCGAACGTTTATTTCTCTGAGCCTTCAATCTAAACAAGTTTAATAAACCCACAG